GCTTTTCAGACCGATGAGCTTTGTAAAAATAGACGCGTTTCAGAAAGTCGGGGCATAGAGGAGAAACAATAATGTACAGTATGTGGAAAATAATGTGTTTTTTGAACCCGCATAAACACATTTCATTACACCAAATACACAAAATAATGTTCTTTTTAGCAACGTCATATGACCCCTTTAATATCAAACCTATATAATGAATTTGGAAATTTTAGAGAAATGCTTAATAAATGCACTGTAACTAAACCCATTAGATTTTAGCAGACTAAATTTACTATAGATTTAGTCGACTAAAATCGTATGATATAAAACTAAAAACAATTCAGATGACCAAAATATGACTAAAACTAAATGGCATTTTAGTCAAAAGACTATGACTAAAATTAAATCAAAATTTGCTGTCAAAATTAACACTGGTATGAACTATCAAAAAACCACAACAACTGAAAATTTTAAAACTAATTTTAAAGCATTTATTATTCTGAGTTAATCTTAAAAAATATTTTGTTAATTAATTCATGTTTGTTCATAATACATTAAATGTAAATTCCGTTAGCATTCGGTCACATGTCGATCCAAACCCAAATCCAAGTGTTTCATCTTTAAAATACGAATGAAGATATGTATGCTATTTTCTCATAATTTTTTCCCATCCACTCAAAGTTTGCATTTGCATACTTCAAAAACTACAATGACATTGTAAAAGTATCAGTGTAAAAGACAGTGTAAAAGTATTGTAAAAGTAAAAGTAGCTTCCAGAAAAAAAAAATGTATTGTTCATTGTTAGTTCATGATACCTAGTAGTGCTGGGCGGTATGACCACAAATTTATATCACGGTATTTTTCAAAATTATACCAGTTTCACGGTACATGACGGTATTTTTTTTTTCATGCATGACCGGGTGTTAACCATATTTTCTACTGATTGAGAGAGGAAATACTGCAGTATATTGACTTAGAATGCCCTATTCTACACCGGTATTCGGTATGAACCTGTATACCGCCCAGCACTAATACCTAGTGCATTAAATAATGTTAACATTAATGTAAAGTGTTTTCAAAACTACAATGCACAAGATGCTGGATACAATACAATACAATATGGATACAAATAAGGGGTGACACCTTAAAAGGACATGTAAGGCTGCAGGGATGGTAATTGTATTGTGGTTTTACCATGCAGCAATACTAAATAAATAAATTAAAATATGTCCTAGTTGATCTCGCCCAATAGTCAACAAGACAGCCATTATGACCCATCCCTAGTTGACACAATATACAAAAGCATATTTCAATTGAGTTCCACCAGTGAATATGCACTTCTGCATTGCATGCTTCATTTTGATCAGGGGAGACAGTAAGAAATATAGCCTAATTTAGGATTGGCATGTGTGTTAACTATGCAAAGTTTTTTTGGCCTACTTGTCTCGTGGCGGTTCACTGCGGGAGCGTGAGGCGGGCATCGTATCTGCTCCTTTGGTGGGGTCACCAGCACCAGCGCTGGGTGGAAGAGTGTTGTTAGTGACCGGAGCCTGTGATCTGGAGTGCAACTTCCTGTCCTTCTCCAATTCAGGGACACTGAGGGGAGCGCCCACACTAAGAGGCCTCCCCCCAGGCCCTGATGAAAACCATTCTCCTGATTTAGTTAGGATTTCCTGTTGTTTCCTGCACAGATTACATACCCACATCACCTGCATAGACAAATACAAGTGTTATTAAGGCAGGCAGAGATTGTTGATCATTGTAAATGAACAAGATGTACAGTACAGCTAATATATTAGGCTTCAGAATACTTGAATTACATTGTTTTAAACATTCTCCTATAGTATTTAAAAAAACATTTAAAGTAAGTCATAGAGACAGAGAGATATACATAAACACATGAAGTACTTAGATACAGTACATCCACACACTATCAAACATAACAAACGTTGGACTTTCATTAGCTACATTTAGCTAGCATAATTTCAATGTAGCAATTTCTTTGAGCGATAGGCAAGGAATATGAACTGACAATGCTGAGCAGGTATAAATAAGAGCTGCAATATTACAGAATTGAGTCAACCACACTAAACAATCAAGCTCTGTAAAGTATAAAAGAGTCTATTTTCAAGTCAGTCAGTCTAGGCCTACTTCTTTATGTTTGATTCCTACACCTGCTGGATTGCGCTAATTGCTGTTGGCAGATATACAGTATTTTGAAAAGTCATTCAAAGGTTGTAGATATAGTATTCCCAGTACAAGTCTTGAAAGCTGGTAGTACCTAAAAACCCCATAAATACTTTGCAAGCACAGTTTTCCACTTAGTTCTTACTGAAACAGGACATATCGTAATGTTTCAAAGCTCTTGAAGACTTTTTCTATCCCTATTGTAGTTTTCAAGACACTTAAATGCAAATGAAAACTTTGTCATCATGACATTTCAAACCCATAAGACTTACGTTTATTTTTGGAACGCAAATGATGATATTTTTGGTCTGGTAGCATGCTAATTAAAACACCACTGCTAGAATACCAATACTAAACAAATATAAATAAGAAGAAATCAAATTTAATCAAAAGTATTTGTTACAATGGAGATTAACTATCTTCTGAATAGGAAGTAATAGAAATCAGCCATCCTTTTTCTTCATCTGGGTAGATTTTTGCAATGCAAATGCACAAGTTATTATATCATTAGTCTCATATTTGTCAATCTGCCTTCTCCCATCTCTTTCCTTTTCCCCAATTAAGCCCTATTATTGAGCCCTGTAATGGTTCATTCATGAGATGTAGCTGAGGCTGCCTAAAATACCTTCGCTGACACCATATTTCTTCATTTCCTCTACCCATATTTCTCCCACCCTCTCTCTTACACTCCCTCTCTCTCACTTTTTTCTTTTTTTTTTTATCTAGCCAGCTAGACAGGCCTGATTTGACATGATTAGCGGGAATGCTAAATCAAATGAACAGCTCTTCCCTTGACAACAAGATCACACCTTTAAAAGCACAGAGGTCCAATCTATTGATGTAGTATTTGATTCTTAAAGCACTCTTAGAATAACAGTAAATCCACTCCTATTTTAATACATGACAGCTGTCATGGCTGCAGGAAACATTTGGACGAGAAGAACCCTTATTTTTTTTTAATGATGTCAGTGATTCTACAAGCTTGGAAAGGAAGCCAAAGGTCTGTGAGACACAGAACTATATAAATCGCATGCACACCCTGCAACCGACACTGCATGTTTTATCGATTAGATGAATGGTGTGAGAACGGGAAAGCAGACATCCTCTGAAAAGCCTGTAACATTAGTCATCTTTAGCACCTGATGATCAGCCGCAAATGGGTTATGAAAGCAGGAGCTTAAAACAGGACATTTTGCAACAGACACAGCTAAAATACTTCATTTTGAGTTCTGCGATGTTATGACAGAGGTTTGAGATTTCATACACGTTCAAATGAAAATAGTATGACTTCTAATGGTGACAAACTAACTATTTCATGCTACTCACATGGCGGCATCCTCCTAGATATTGGATCCCCTCTCACAGGGTCAACCTTCAACTCCATAAACATCCAGAACAAATTTCTTTGAAGAATCGCCAGTGCGAAATACCTTGCCAGCAAATGTGTCGCATTTCGGTGTTGACCGGATCTTAAAGAGGAGAGAGGCTGTTCTAGGACAGGATGGATATGAGGGAGAGTGAGAGAGAAGGGACGAGAGAGCATCATGGCCTGATTGGATCCAGTTGGCACAGCTCCAGCGTAATCTGAGGTAAATCAGTTGTACAGAGGCCCACAGCTGTCAGCCAGCCAGAGAAACATTCTCAGGAAGGATTAGCAATCCCTGCTAATCCCACCAGACTATTGCTAGCGCTTCCCATTATTCAATCCAGTGACAAGACAATGCTGCCCGTGCTCTTCACCTCAACGGCACTCGGAAAATACCACTGCAACAATGATCTTGAAAAAATGGACCACATACCTTTAGTCGCTCTCAAAATGGAAAAATATGACATGTTCTTATTGATAAACAGAAAGTAATTCACACGTATAAGTGAAAACTGGTTTGGCAGATCATGATCAGAAGGGTTTAAGGAGGAACAGAGAAAATCAACACCTAATAAATGTGAATATGTTTCGTAAAAGACTACATGCGTAGATAGCTAGATTACTCATCACTATTTTTGTGCAGTCGAGGATGGGTAAAATAATCCCAGGCTTTAATCCTTGAGCTAGATTCAATTCAAGCCATACGCACAATAGAGGATTCACTTTCTCTCTGATTCATTTTTTATTTTTTTTTCTCCAAAGGCTAGTTCACAACAATATCCAGGGCAGCTAAAGCCATTAAAGCTTCTCATCTCGCAAAGGCTTGATTCTCGAGCCCCTTTCCCAACTAGAGAACTGAGGAGAAAAGGGAAATAAAAGATCCGCTAAGACCTGGCCATTGTTATGAGAGCGAGCGAGAGAGAGAGAGAGAGAGAGAGAGAGAGAGCGAGAGAGAGAAAGAGAGAGATTAAATCTGAGAGACGACAGGAACAGTGCTTTCACTGTATTCCTGAACAGCATGAATAGGATTTTCATGTCCAGGGAGATCACTAGTAACTAAGTATCAGAAGACCCCATAAAAATCAGACAGTAAACAAGTATAACTTAACTGCAGACCTGAGGTCAGCACATATGGAAAGAGAGAGATGGATGAGGAATTCTGTGTGTGTGTGTGTGTGTGTGTGTGTGTGTGTCTGTGAGCCTATTCTCCATTTTGGATGTGTGAGAACATTACCCCATGTCCCCATTTTTCAAAATGAGTTTTTTGAGAAAGTAAAAATGCACAAAGTTTCCTGTAAGGGGTAGGGTTGGTGTAGGGCAATAGCCCAAACAGTTTGTACAGTATAAAAACCATTACGCCTATGGAATGTCCCCACAATTCACAAAAAACAAACCTGTGTGTGTGTGTGTGTGTGTGTGTACATTTATATGGGTGTAAATACAATCTCTACTGTTCTCTAAGCATGTTCTCTAAGTGTGCCAGCCACCCCCTGCTTTGGTGAATACTGTTCTCCATGGTAACCAAATCAGTGAAAGGAGAGGAGACATACAGAGGACAGTGTGAGTCTCCAGTACAGAGAGTCACGAATATCACAATTATTTGCTCTTTTTATTTCCTAACGACTAGTTAGAAACTAGCTTCTCTTTTCTTTAAACACCAGTAACAAAAATTGTTACATTTTAGTTTTATTCATATCTGTGAATCAGTACCAACTGCTCATTTCAGTGAATTCAAAAGTGTGATTCAATTATTTGTTTGCAGCAGTGGCAAAAATTATGTTATAGTTAAGTTTGATTAATTTGTGTGAATCAATACAAACTATGTCAATGATGAGTCTGATTCAATAGCAGTTATAAAACTTGCGAGTACAAGAATTTCATGAAGTCTCTTATTAAAACGTACATAAACTCTTATTAAAAAATTAAATGGTTTGAGTCAGTAAATGAAAAAAAAAGTAAATGATTAATTTGTAAGATTACTCATGAATCTTCACTGAAGACCTTAGGAAAAATTGTCATATATTAAAAGTATTAGTAAAAATATTATATATTTTTTTATTATATATTATATATATATTATATATGGCTCATAAAACGTGTGAGTTGTTGTATGTTTAAACTTCAGTAGCAAAATATTCTTGCTAAGATTGATTAATTGTATTATCCCCATATTAAAAATATTTTTAAAAGTACCTATGTGGAATTTTACACATATTAAATAGTGTGTAATAAAATGTATATAGACAAACATGGCTAATAAAACTTGGAAGTATGAACATGTTAAGATATGGTATTCTTTTATGCAAACATTGTTAAGTTTGATTCATTTCTGTATATCAGTTCAAACTGTTTGTGGCAGTTAATTCAAAACTTGATTCAATTCAATGTCTAATTTGCATTATCACTCAAAAATGTTCAGTTAAGTCATTATGTGGCAATTTACACATTTAATAGTAACAGCAAAAACATATATAGACAAATCTGGCTAATAAAACTTGTGAGTACGAGCATGTTAAGATATTTGAATAGCTTCTCTAATGTAAACTTTAAGATTGAATTAACTTCTGTAAATCAGTTCAAACTGTTTGTCAGTGAATTTAAAACTGGATTAAATGACTCATTTGCATTATCACTCAAAAATGTTCAATGAAGTCCTTATGTTGCATTTTTTCATATATTAGCGTATATTCATTGATAAATGTTAAAACTTAAGATAGATTTTTTTTATTGCGCAGCCCTAAAAGTGAGTAAATAAAACCAAGTGAATTCAATGATATGACTACCTGAAAAGAACAAAAGTAGTGACATAGGTTTGACACTAAAGAGAACTGAATGCAGGTAGGACAGGGAAAAATAAGGCACTCTATTGCATCTGTAGTGGTCTGGGGGAAAGGGCTGGGGCTCAACTGTGCCACTTCAGAAGAAATGGGTTATGAAAAATAACTGCCTTCCTCTCAAAAACTGACAGATCTGCTGACACAGTCTCCATTGCACACCCCATAGAGAAAACTTGCTCATACATCACACAAACACACACACACACACACACACACACACACACACACACATGCACATGCACTAAAGCACTCAAGGGAATTTTAATATTAAAGCATACAGACACCTGTGACTGGCTGCTTAATGTCAGTACCAGTTTAAAAGGGTCATATCATGAAAAACTGATTTGTTCCTTGATCTTTTGAAAAATATTGTAACATCCCACATGAAAAAATACTATAGTAATTTATATTAAATACTATAGTGTTTTTGAGCCATACTATTGTCACGGGTTGTCGAGAAATGAGGACAGCAAACGAAGATGCATACTTCCAAACAGACTTTACTGAGAATACTGATTTGGTACAACACAAAACATAAGCTAATCACCGACAATGAAGAGACTTGAATAAGGAGTATAAATACACACATGGTAAATGAGGGAACTAAACAGGAACAGCTGGACAAGGATTAACTAATCAGAAACCATGGTAACTAATGAGAGCTCATAACAGACATGACAGAAACAGAACTAAACTGAACATAATCGTGACAACTATAGTAAAGTACTTGAATTAATTTGTTGTGGTAATTCTATAGTTGCTGTGGTAATATAACATATAGTAATATAAACAAATTACTTTACCCAATACTGTACTGTAAAGTTTTCTACAACTGTAGGGAATATTTTACTACAATACACTACAGTTTACTGTAGTAAAAACTAAAGTATACCACAGTATTTATTACAGTTTATCAGTTCGAT